TTCCTGTTGCTCCCTTCCCACTGGACCCTTCCTCCCCCCTGGCAGTTTCCCCTCTTGTCCTGGTATCACCCATTTGGCTCCAAAGAGCTGCAGGTGAGGTGCCCTCCTGCTGTGATCTCTTATAGCTCCCTGCTGGACCTCGCCACCGGTGCCCGGGTCAGCCCGCAGAAGGCGGAGGAGATCTACCGCTACCTCCACTATGGTTTTGATGTGCAGATGCTGCCCGAGAATCTCTGCGCTAAGGGGAGAAGTGACACAGCTACCAAGAGCTGAGGGGAGTGAAACTTGGTTTCTGGACTCACAGACTGTTTTCTTTTAACTGCACTTTACTGAGTTTTGATTCACTGTAAAATATGTAAATAAACCCTTGCAGAGCCATCAGGGGCTTTTGGGTCTGTGGGCAGGGCTGGTTTTTGCTTGCTGGGTATGATCATTCCAAAACTCCTTTAAAAATGAGAACTGGCTTAGGCAGAAAAGTGGTGGCAGGGGGAGGGTCCTTGCTATTTACTGCAAGAGTGGTAGCCACTTGCCAAATGTTCCTTACTCTTCTTGCCCAAGACACAGACAGGGGCGGGGGGTGGGGGGTGCCAGGTTTGAAGTAGAGATGGATGGGCAGTAAGTTCCCTTGTCCTTGGGTGGCCCCACAGCTGCCATCTCCTCCCCTGTGCCCACCGCCACACCAGGCATGGGCGAAGCCTTCCTGCAGCTTCTTGCTGCCACACTGTGGCTGCCTGGCATAGGAACTTCTTGTTTTCACTCCTTCCCATCCTTCTCTGGAGCATGGTCATGAAGGGGCCTGGACAGAGGTGAGGGCAACGAACGACCCTGCTGACGCTGGTACAGACCCGCACCAGGCTGGCGTCAGCCCGTCATGCCTAGTTAAAAGCAAGAGAGGGTGAAAACGCAGAGGCCCGGGGCCCTGAAGTGAGGCTGAGAGCTTGTGAATCCTACTTCTCCCCCGCAAAGAGCTCGACTCATGTATGAGTAAAATGAGCTGGTCCTTTTTTATTACATTAAAGGAAATGTAAAAATTCAGAGTCTCAGTAGAGGAAATTAAAAAGCAATTCCTATTAGTTATGAACTGTACCATTATAAATTTATTGTACAGCCATATTTCAAAAAGATATTTTACCTTAAAATGAATCACAACTTGCCGCTAGTCGGTATCCGAGTATGTTCCTCCCTCCCCCGGGAGAAACGGGGCAAGAGAACAGGAGGAGCCTGGGCATGGAAGTGTGACTTTGCACACGTAACAAGTGGCAAACAGTGCTTGGATAGGCGGCAAGGTGAGAATGGTGTTAAAACACATAAAAACGCTGCAGGTCAAGGTGTCCAAGCTGAACTCTTAACGTCACAGGAATACCATCTCAGAGGGGTGGCCGGCTGCTTTGCTTCGTACGAGAGGCGCCTAAGCGTTGAACCAATAAAATCCACAAAGTTCATTAAACAGAAAAATAGGAATCATCCTGCTCTTCATCTGATGAATCTGCTGCCTCAGCCACAAAGAGCTTCCCTACAACAGAGGTCTGTTCCACTTCTGCAATGAGACAAACAGGCGTTATCAGTGTGTGTGCCCGGGCTTGAAAAGCAGTTGCCAGAGGTCCACAAAGGCGCTTATGAGAAACAGACTGTGGAAAAATCATTAGACGCACAGACTGTGGACACCCAACGAGCCAGCGGCGATGAGAAAGTAAGTGAAGGAGCCTGAAGTGAAGGAGGAGGAACACAGAGCACTTACTTACTTTTATCAAAGCCGAACGGGGTTCTGCGTGAAGCTGGCGTAGCAAGCACGCCTCCGGCCTAACGGAAAGGAGAGAAAGGCTCTGCTCAAACAGCTGCGACAGCACCAGCGCAGCGTCCCGGGGAGGAACTGGCACCCCCGTGCTCTCGCACCAGCATTAAGTTCCCCTAGCACTAGGCTCCATTTTCACTAAAAATTTAAACTGTTCAACTATCACAACTGCTTTCCCTAAACCAGAGGCACAAGCAGTTTTTCTGCTTCTGGGACCTCAGCTTTTCACAGAAAAGTCAGAAAAATTACAAAAACCTAGGATACTGAAGGAATAAATACATAAGTTCAGGGACTAGCTGATAGAAGGTGGGAAGTACTGTTTCCTTTCCCACTGTACAGAAGAATATAGCAGGAGCTTAATATACCTAAAGATCACAGAATTCAAGAGCAGTTACAAATCCTGGAAAAAAAGCAATGTATTCAATCCTGACAAAAATCCAGCTCTTCTCTAACAAATAGAACTTTTCTCCAACAGAAGACAGATACAAAACCCAGAAGTTTGGAAGGAGTAGGGTAGGGTTCCTGTTTTCCTTCTTGAATGTACACAACTAGTCTGTGATCCTGGGATTCTTTTGCCTGCTGCCTAACAAAGCTTTGCCATCACTAAGGTGGAACTAGGCAGCATTCAAGGAAATGAGCATTACCGATGACTTCTTGATGTTGTCCCAGGTGCCTCTGCTGCCCTGCGTGTGCTTCTGCATTCTGAACACGTGCCTGTCATAATCATTCCTGCAGGTGTAATCAAGCACATTAGCGTCACTGGTGTGCCGCCTACGGAATCGGGCTGCGTACCGTTAAAGGCATTACACAAACACCTCTAATTCAGAAAGAAATTAGTACAGCCATTAAAAACAGTTGTTGGTCAATTAAATATAACAGCAGCTCTGGGAGTAAAACACAACAGGATTGTTTAATTAGATCCCATACTAACACTCCTAATGCAAGTATCGGACAAAGCTTCATCATCACCTTCCCAGATGAAGTCCATTTCTTGTCTATTAGATAAAATGCCAGTTACTCTGCAAGTTTCAAGATGATCCCAGTTTCAGTAAAGCCTGAAGCAATTGAGTTAACAGGTTTAAGACTCAAAATGAGCAGAGAAACCTCTGCTGACACTAAAGCCCAAATCACTACCTTCTCCAAGAGTAAAAGGACACATGCTGGGCATAGTTTTCGTTGCCCACATTTGAGTACCTCAAACTGCACACGCTGCCAAAGGAAAGAGCTTTCTCTAAACAGATCCCTCCAGGATTGCAGGATTTCCTATGCATGCTCTTAAGTCTGGAAGTGAACTGGTGTCCCAGTTCCAAGAGTGATCTTTCTCAGAAGACAAAAAACAATCTTGGGGAAAATGAGAACGGAAAAGGTTAGCAGAGGGACAGCAGTACCAGTTCCTACCTGTTGATGGGTACCAGCATACCAGGGCTGATATGCTCACACTGAGGGGTTTTCACCATAGGGAAGACAGCTGAGGAAGGTGTGATCGGGTTGTCCGTAAGTGCAAAGTCATCATCGTCATCATCGTGGCTTCCCCGGAACGTTGGCAACTACAAAGCCACATCAGAGCAATCAGTGACCTGCCCTTTTTTCAGCAAGTCTGCTGAAAAGGCTTCTCGTGGGTCTCACAGTAGGACACAGCCTCTTCACAACTCTGTGAACCCTGGTTGTGTCCCCCTTCCCCATCTGGAGGTGTCCCAGACTTCCTGTGCCCTCAACAGGCAGTTGCTCTGCTCCCTTGCTCGCTTCAGTTGTGGTTTTGACTCCACCGTGTCCCTCTCGAGAGGCAGAGGCCAGAAATGTGCACAGCACATGGAAGGCAGGTATGCAGGGACCTGACAGGAGCCCAGTGATGCCTCCATCATGCTCTTAACACTCCTCCTGTTGGTGCCCAGTGTTCTGCTGGCCTTTTTGGGCTGCTACTACACATTCAAAAAATAGTGTCTGATTAAAATTACAAGCTTACAGCTGACCACTACTACTCAGGAGGAGGATTTCAGGATTAGTCAGCAAACTTCTGGCCCCTCTCCCTGAAGGGAGAGGAGAACTGGAAAGGTTCAGAGCAGAGCAACATAGATAATCAAAAGCACAGCAGGTACTGGTGGGGGAGAGCTATAACTGGCACCAGGGGTGAATGGGGACCGGGATAGTTGTTCGCTGTTTCTTCCCCATGACAAGAGGATGACAAAGTCAGCAGAGGCAAGTTCAGGACAAATAAAAAGATTAGGCAGATAATTCAGCTCTAGAGCTTAGCACAAGAAATTGCAGGTGTGAAGAGTCTGCATGGGTTCGAGGAGGGGCTGGGCTAGTTCATAGAAGGGGAACCCACTCATGACTTCTAAATATACAGGATTTCTCTCTGGAGGCATACCTCTCGCCATACACTACAGAGGGAGGTCAGTTTCTTTTGCACAGCTCAAGGTAGGCAAAATGGATTTGAAAAAAAAAGAAAAAGAAGAGAACCCTTTTGAATCACTGGCTAAAACTGTGTTCTACCAAAAGATGAGTCCCCTGGAGAATCCCTCTGCAAAAGCAGGGTGTCTTGGACACAGGTGCATCGATTCTTTCACAGATAGTCTGCTCATACTAGTCATGGGGCTTTCTCTACAGCACATGGTGGTTTATAGAAAGCAACGAAGTTACCACCCCTTAAATTCTGACTTTCCAACAAGCCATGGCATTACTGTACTTTGGGACGTCCCAGAGGAAGAAATGCGCTGTTGCTACAAAGAAAACCCCCAAAAGAACAAACACATCAAGAAACGTACAGGTGCCCTTGGGAGTCCTGGCTGGAACTGAGGTGCTGGTTTTAACAGGCAGAGCTAGTTTGGTCAGGTAACGGCAAAAAGAAAGATGCATCATGAAATCTACTTCAAAAATTCTCTACAGGGGAAAAAAAATAAAATAAAAATCATTATTTTGATAAATTACTGGCTTTCTCTTTAAAAAGGAAAACAGAGTCTTAACTAACAGCTGGAGGGCATCCTCATGCCTCACCACAGCATGGGGGTCATCACAAAGATATGGTGACCTCTCCAGCACTGGTGCTGCGTCTGCCCGGAGTGTTTGGGGGCTGCACCAGGAGCGAGAGGGGAGGGCTCCCTGAAGAGGAGACTAACCAGGGAAACGGGGCAGCTCATCAGCCCAAATGGGCAACAAATCGGAGATAGTAGGTAAACAACAGGCAAGGGCCAGGGCAAGAAGGTAAAAGGACTCCCAAAGAGAAACGCAGCCACCGACAGCACCGGGAGGTAAGTGGTATTAAATATGAGGTGTGCTGAGGAGAGAAAGAAAGGAATCCTGTTGAGTATGAGCATGACTTCAGAGAGTACGCAGTTCCACGGCACAAGGATCCCCAGGGCAGCAATATCACTGCACAGCCAGTGCTCCACAGCGCCGGAAGCGTCTCCCACACAGAGGCAGAATGGACACCCCTACACAGACTGGTTTTATGCATCCGTTCAGTGGCAATCCTTGTCTGCAGAAGCCACGTTCCACATGTTCTTGCTGCTGGCAATCCAAGTACTGCAATACCAAATCCAGGAAATAAGCCTCTTCCCCCCAAATCCACAAGGCTTTATTGATGGAACCGAACTAGCAGGCTTGTAACACACCCTTGAAATACCAACCAGAAAAGCACACACGTCTAATACACTGTTTTCCCAGATTTACCTTTACTCTTCTGTTCTGAAAGGGCGTCGCAGTGAAAATATCGTCATGGTTGTCCTTTGGCAGATTGTCCAGGAAATCTCTCATCTGCTGCTTTCTTCTGAAGGTTCCCACTTTGGCAGTTATCACCGACTCTTTCTTATCTACATGAATCAAAGTATTAGTTGCTCCAGGACATCAGTTACGTAGCACAGTTTTAAGATGCCCTAACTATGATCAATGCTGACGATACAGTTCCGTCTCTCCTTTGTGGAAATGTCTTATTTGTAAGCTGTTTTGTGATCCTTTGAGTTCTTAAACAAGTTATGCTTTCAAAAAGAATTCCTCTACTACATCTTAACCAGAAACTTACTCCAGAGCCTTTACACAGCCATTGCAAGTGTCATACTTCGGCTATTTTATTACAATTTTAACAGAGTTATCCATGCATCTGCATTTCAGAGACAAAAGTCACCAAGATGTATCATGCGTGTCGAGGCATAAAGTGCTCCGACAAAGGCTCTGCTGCACAGAGACCCGTTGAGCATCCTTGACACAAGGTTTATGGAATGCTCGTCTGAGACTTTAGCATGTACAGTTGTACCCTTCACAAACCTTAATCCAATTAATGGACCTAAACGATGAGCCATTAGAGCTACTTGGAGGAAAGAAAGGGCTTTGTCACTTCCACTGGTCTGTGTATTCCTATCCTCTACTTTCTGTGACAAGTGACTTTCGAGGCAAATTTAGAAGAACATCTTCCCAATGTCCTCACCTTTAGACAAAAACTAAAACAGCTGCTTACGCAGACAGTCAAGTAAAGAAGAAAATTAATCCACAGTTCACAGATTTTCAGAAGAACAAAGCATTTTTGTGTCTATGCTAAGATTCGTAGTTAACAGAATGCGCTCTCCGTCTGAGAGAAGGCCAATGACCAGCTCCTAACTGCCAAGGAAGATCTTTCCTTAGTATCATGCAGGACTGAGTTTAGTCCTTTGCTTTGCTACAGTCATTTTAGAGTGTCTCAGCATTTAAAAGGCCCACGTGAGTCCAGGAGGTCCCAAACATTGCTTTCCTTAAAGCAAAAAAACCTTAAAACCACCATGGCAGACTGACCCTTTAAGAATGCTCGCTAACCAAAACAACTGTGTCTTCGCAATAGAAGAGCCTGAAGTCTAATAATGTCAAATACCAGGGTGAAACAGAAAAAATTCTCTGTAGCATATCGGCAGTGGAGAAGTGAACAACAACAGAAAAAGCTTTTGTAATCACAGAAGTGCAGGGAATTTTGATACCATGATAACAGTCAAAATAAGATGTTTTCTATCTATGCTCCAAAGTGCTCAAGAAGACTAATCAGAGCTGGATAAAATTCATTACAAAACTGATGCCCAGCAGATTCTCACACAAATTCTGTAAATGCAGCAAACATTTCAAAGAAACATTCAAGTGAAAATAAAGCACACTGTCCTGCAGTGGAGCCCTCAATGTGCTGCTTTTCCAAGTCTGCACAAAATCACACTTCACTGACTTCAAGGGCAGGGAAACCTACTGAGATCTTCTGCTGTGTTCTATGTTACGGAGGCTCCAGGACTGGAGCCAAGTGTTCCTGTGTGAAGTCAGTAGCTGTGAGTAACCTGGACCACCGCATTCAGAAAGAAAAAATTATTTTAATGCTTTCAGTAAATGGAGACTGATGGATACCTTCAGCTGCTGAGAAACATCACCAGAGTTGTCTTTGCCTGCAGTTGCATAACACTTCAAGCTTCCAATGGCTGAGTGATGGCATGTTTTCATCAGCCAAAGGAGTTCCTATCAAATAGCTTTCCTTACCCAAGCACTTACTAAGTCATTGTAACCTTCTGTGTTAATTGACTGGATTGAGCATCTTGTGCCTTTCACCTCAGGGGCATACTTGCTAGCTGTAAACATGAACTACCGACTTCAGAATTGGACAGAAAACAGCAACAGGCACGTCACTTCCAGACAGCAAACATAACTTTGTGTTCTTACCCCACACTGCCCTTAGTGCATACAAGCACCCCATTATCCCTTTTGGATCGATAGCTCTGCAAGTAGCTCATTATCTACCAGGCTCCAAGAGCCTCTTGAGATGTAAATAGCTATTTTCCCTTAGGTTTCAAAGCCAGCTTAAGTCTTCCCATCACACCAAAAACAAGAAATCTCTAAAAGTATCCCTTCTCTTCTTGCTACTTCAGTCACTTATGACATCCTCCAAGCTCTGCAACAAACTTTTAAGCTGTAGAAGATAACTTTCTGCACTATTGGACTCTGGTGTGTGTTTATGTCTTTATCTCCCATTACATAATAAATAATGAATTTATAATTATTTAAAGACAACAATATACCTAGAACCAAGGTGTCACTACCTTTCTGTCCTGGTTTTTCTGAAGTGGTGGTCTTCTTGGCATGCATTGTAGAACGTTTTGCCTGTTGTTCTTCTATATACTTCTGATGGCATTCTTCAGCAGAGCGAGACCCCACCGCCATGGCTACCTCCACCCAGAAGCCACTCTTGTGCTTTGGAAACGAAGCAATGGCCCTGCCAGGGGAACAAAGCCACAACCTTCGTCATGCAGGAAAATCACAGAATCGTAGAATCTTTGGGTTGGAAGGGACTTTTTAAGGTCATCTCGTCCAGCCCCCCGTGCCATGAGCAGGGACAGTCTGCGCAATGCTACCAAGTAAAATACCCCAGAGACCAACTGCCACTCCTAGAAAGAGCACTGTGCGTTGGACGCAGTGAATCTAGTCTCTGCTGTCTTGTCCACACGCTTAAGAACTGGCAAAAATTTAGTTGGACAATTTAAACTAACAGCTCCATTACAAGAGAAATTTCTTCCTTATTTGCAACAGATCCTGCCCCCTGCTCCCCCCAACCTCCCAGGACATGAGCTCATGCCTTTTCAGATTTCTAATCTAAAAGAAAGAAAACCAAGCATGGTTATTTTATTACTTAATGTACAAATTAAATACTGCCCAGTAGCTTAAGTAAGTGGGCAATGCATTAAACGTTCTTGCAGTTAATCTCCCCTTTACAAGACTTAAATACATAGACATGTCATGCTCAACATTTTATTCCATTAGGGAAGACAATATGCTGCCTCCGATTTGCTGTCTAAACCATAAATGTGAATACTTTTACCATATTATTTACCTACTCATGTTTTTCTATTTTACTCACATGAGTGTTTATCACTCCACAAGATTAAGTGTGTGTTTTTGAAAGACAGGTAGAGGAGCAAATTTACAAAATTTTGCCTAAGGTCTGCGTTCCTCTCGCTCTACACTGATGACAGTGGTAGGAGCTGCTCTAGGCTCACGCATCTACAGTTACTTTAGAAAATATTCAGTTGTCTCCTTTATTTCATTATTTTTTAATTTGTTAACAACATTCATTTTGTAAGAGGGAATTAAAACATAAAGGAAACCTTTAAAATAATGTGAAAGAAACTGAATCTGAAAAATCCAAATCCAGACCATCCAAAAACCCTTCAATATATTACACTTCCTGATGCCAAAGGGAATCTTTGCCCTGTGAACACAGGGCAACCACTTGCCTGGAGAGCTTCTGCAATTCCTTTTCAGACCAACCATCAGTTGTCCTTGGAAAAAGTTCTAGAGATTTCTCCACCTTTTCCCTCTCCGGTTCTCTTGCTTTTGCTGCTGAAGACTTGGCAGTATTAGAAACTTTACAGTTTGGTTTTTTATCAGATACTTTTGACTTTTTTTCTTTTACTTGAAATTCCTCTTCACTGGTTTCAGGCTCACTGTCAAGCAAATACCTTGGAGGGTTGATTCTGTTTCTTGTCCTCGTTGCCTTATCAGGCAGATGGGAAGCACTAGACTCGCTAGAAGGTGTTTTTCCTTCAAGCAAATCAGAACCATCAACAGATCCGGGCACACTCTGCCTCAACGGCATGTTATAGGAGGCAGTAGAGTGTTTTACTGTCCTTTGTTCACATGACACCTTGTTTGCATCATCTTGTGAACTCTTACAGTTAGAAGAAGATTTAGAGTTTTGAGTCTCATTTTTAAATAAAGATTTATTTTTCCTTTTGATAGACAGTGGGATGTCTTCACTGGATCCCTCTTCCTCATCTTTGCTTGACAATTCTTGTGTTAAATGCCTGTCTTGAAGAAGCTGTTTGGCTGACCTTAAAGAGTACTTGTAAGCCTGCTGATACACAGTCAATTCTCCATTTTCTGTTCCTCTCTTTTCTTTTGTCATTCCTGGGATTCTGCTATTATAGTTCCATTTGTTTAGTGCTTCAGAATGTAAGGGAGTCAGCTTAACATAAAGCTGCGTTTTATTTTTTGTACTGTGGGTTGCATGATCACTTTCATCATCATCTGAAATGAAGCGCCCGGCCTCCTTGCTTCCAGCAGACTTGGTTTCTTTTTTGGAACTTACTCCTTTTTCATTGTTTTTCCCTGAAAGAGAGGATGCCAGTGTATATCACACGTTGTAATGTAGATCATTACTGTGTTCTCAGACAAAGACTAGCCTGCTGTGGGATGCAATGCATCCTGCACCCGTTAAGGTCTGTGAACTCCTCTCTATTATAGAGACTGTAGTCTGTAGGAAGAGACAAGCAGCACGCCTCCAGCGCACAGCTCCCTGTGTTCTGCAGAAGCCTCTCCCCACATGAACAGAACAGAAAAGAGTATTTTTTAGGACAAGGAGATACTCTGTTTAATGGTCATGTTGGGATACAAAAATAAATCAAACACTGCTTCCCTCTGAAACACAGAAAAATGTCACTTGAGAGAGAAATTGGTGATGCTAGGAAACATTTCATCATGCTCTGTACTGCCCACCCCTTCCCCATTTAAGAGAGGCATAGCACAGGTTATCTGCAACCCATTTTCAAAGA